GAGAGGATGTAACCTTTGAATTTACTGGTTGGGGGTTACAGTTATCATTTTGGGGCAGGCCTGGACAAGTCCCAGGCTTTGTCCTTGTGCTGCCATGGGGGCTGACTGGCCTAGCACGTACTGACTATGGGGGCTGGCTCAGTGGCCCAGGCTCTGTCTTTGAGCTGCCACGTTCACATTGGCTTATGCACGTAGCTCTAAGTTGGTGAGGGGTCCCAGAGAGTAGACATCTGGCTGAACTTTGAGCAGTCAGCGTACGTGCAGAAAGGGAGCTACTGCAAGGACTATGTCTTTTGTTCATGGCCCTCCCAGAAACTGCTTGCTCAAGTCTCAGGAAACTGAAATTGAGGCCTGATCTCTGAGAGAAGACTGAGCAGCCTGTTATGGCGTCTGCTTGGTCCTTTCAGAGCAGTCAGTTTCTGGGAGGGCCGTGAACAAAAGACATAGTCCTTGCAGTAGCTCCCTTTCTGCATGTACTCTGACTGCTCAAGGTTCAACCAATTGTTTACTGTCTGGGACCCCTCACCAACTTAGAGCTACGTGCATGAGTCAAGGACAGAGACTGGGCCACTGAGTCAGCCCCTGTAGTCAGTACATGCCAGGCCAGCCAGCTTCCATGGCAGCTCAAGGACAGAGCCTGAGACTTGTCCAGGCCTGCCCCCCCAAATGATAACTGTAACCCCTAACCAGTAAATTCAAAGGATATACATCCTCACCCAATCATATGATGCAAAGGCTTGCAGTTTTTCCCTTTAAAAACTCCTCACCCTGAGAGTTCAGGGCCGACATCCTTCTCTACCTGCTGTGCTGGAGTATTGGACATAGACCAAGCCTGAGCTTGCTTGTTATCAATAAACCCCTGTGTGTTTTGCATTGGACATCGACTCTGTGGTGGTCTTGCTTGGGGGTCTTGCGACGCAGGCACAAAAGTGTCAGGTGGCTAACCACTGCCTGTAACTCCAGCTCCAGGGGGAACTGACATGGCTGCCCTCGAGCACCTGTGCGCGCGCATACGCACACACACACACACACACACACACACACACACACACACACATATAATTAAAAAGTAAAAGTATTGAAGATACTGTTTATTTATTTTAGGTTGACACACAAAGTGATGTGTTTCATAGACATTTTCATGCATATATATCTTTGTGCTTTTGTTTTTTTAAAAAGATTTATTTATTTACGTGTATGAGTGCTCTACACCTTCACGCCAGAAGAGGGCACCAGATCCCACTGTAGATGGCTGTGAGCCACCGTGTGGTTCCTGGGATTTGAACGCAGGTCCTCTGGAAGAGCAGCCAGTGCTCTTAACTGCTGAGCCATCTCTCCAGCCCCATGTTTTTATTCTTCTTCATCCCTCTCCTTCGTCTCAGTCCTCTCCCATCTTCTCCAGTCCTCTTCCCCACCTTCTGCTGAAAACAACCCAACTGAAAACGGACCCAGTCACATTCAGTGAAACACGCTAGGCCCACCGAGACAGCGTCACATTCATTCTTTCTTACGTGGGGTCAAGGAAGAAAAACGGCCCGAAGGAGGGCCAACCAGCGACGTCATATTCCATATTACCTTCCTGGTTGCTGTGACGACCATCGGATGGAACAACTCAAGGGAGAACATTTTTGTCGCCTTCACAGTTTCAGTCCATCATGGCCGGGTGGAGGTGGTGGCAGTGGGAGCGTGCGCTGGATGGAGGCTTTCCTCATCTCTCAGGGAGCTTGGGGTGGAACAAGAAGCAGGCCGTCTCAAATTTCATTTCCCATAAGGCTGTGATAAAACACGCCTACAAAGACCAGGCCTGGTGGTGCACACCTTTACCCCCAGCAAGCCCGAGGTGGAAGCAGGTGGATCTCCATGAGTTTAAGGCCAGCTTAGTCTATATAGTGAGTTCCAGCACAGCCAGGGCTACACTGTGAGACCCCATTTCAAAACAAAGGCAAAAACAACCCAAATGCAATTTGATAGGCTTTATTTGACTCACAATTCCAGCTTAAAGTCCAGCATTGACAGGACACTAAGGCAGCAGAAACTTGAAGCAGCTACTCACATTGCTTTCATGGTCAAGAGCAGAAAGTAATGAATTGATGCATGCATGCTAATACTCAGCTTCTTTACTCTCAGAAAATTTGGGTGACCCAAGAAATGGTGTCATCCAAATTCAGAGTAGGTCTTCCCACCATAACTAAACCCAGTTAAGAAAAATCTTCCACAGGACTGGAGAAATGGCTCAGAGGTTAAGAGCACTGGCTGCTCTTCCAGAGGTCCTGAGTTCAATTCCCAGCAACCACATGATGGCTTACGACCATCTGTAATGAGATCTGGTTCCCTCTTCTGGCCTGCAGTCATACATGCTATATACATAATAAATAAATAAATAAATAAATCTTGAGAGAGAGAGAGAGAGAGAGAGAGAGAGAGAGAGAGAGAGAGAGAGAGAGAAGAGAAAAAAAAGAAAAAGAAAATCTTCCACAAACGTGACCACAGGCCAACTTAATGTAGACAGTTCCTCATTAAGGCACCCAGGTGATTCTAAATTGTGTCAGGTTGACAGTCAAGACCACCCATCACACAACTATAAACCTCAAAATGTACTGTCTGTGACCCACTTACACAGCCATGCCATCTGTCTCAAAGGGTGCAGGGGGCCAGGCACATGAGCCTGTGGGGGTCCATTTCACATTCAAACCATTAAAGATGTGGAAGGGAAACAGAGGAAGAAACACTGGGGATGAGAAAGAATAATAGAGGGGTGAATAGGATCAAAGTTCACTACATGTCTGTACTGAGCAATCATAACAAACTCTCTTACTATAACTATTATTTGCCATTGATACTTTTACAAAGAATGGGTGAAGTATTCACTAAGAATGTATTTGGAGGCCGGAGCAAAGGCTCAACAGTTAGAAGCACTTACTACTGCAAGAAGAGGACCTTGCTCTATTTTCTAGCACTCACATGCTGGCTTACCACCGTCAAAACACTCATACACGTGAAAATTAATGAATCTTTAAAAAAAGAATATAAACATATATGTAAGAAACATAATAAATATAGTGTATATAGAGGCAAATATATAATTTATATATTCTAGATAACCAACAGTGCCAGAGAAGATGCTCAACATGTATGTTCTTGTTTTGTTTTGTTTTGTTTTGAGACAGAGTTTCTCTGTGTAGCCCTGGCTATTCTGGAACTCACTCTGTAGACCAGGTTGGCCTCGAACTCAGAGATCTGCCTGCCTTTGCCTCCAAATGCCTTTGCTGGGATCAAAGGAGTGTGCTGCCACCACCTGGCGACATGTATGTTCTTCTTTTTTTTTAAATTTATTTAACTTTATTTTATGTGCATTTGGAGTGACGGTGTCTGATCCCCTGGAACTGAAGTTACAGACAGTTGTGAGCTGCAGTGTGGGTGCTGGGAATTGAACCTGGGTCCTCTGGAAGAGCAGCCAGGGCTCTTCACCTCTGAGCCATCTCTTCAACCCCAAAACATATGGTCTTAAGAAAATGCAAACTGGGGTTGGGGATGGTGAAACATGCTGTTAATCCCAGCACTGGAAGGAAGAGGTAGATGGATGTCTGTGAGTTCAAGGCCAGCCTGGTCTACATAGCAAGTTCTAGGACAGCCAGGGCTACATAGTAGAGAGACTCTGTCTCAAAAACACCAACGGGAAAAGAAGTGTTAGAAAAAAGAAAAAAGGGAAATACACACACACACACACACACACACACACACACACATACATACACACATATGTATTCATATACACTAATGTGTCAGATAAGCATTTGTGTGTTGCAGAGTATTCCTTTATACTGTATGAAGACATGTCATTGTGGTTGGTTTAATAAAGAGCTGAAACAATCAGGAAAAAGGAAACCATCAGCCAGGTGGTGGTGGTGGTGGTGGTGGTGGCGGTGGTGGCGCATGCCTTTAATCCCAGCACTCGGGAGGCAGAGGCAGGCGGATCTCTGTGAGTTCGAGGCCAGCCTGGTCTATGGAGCAAGATCCAGGAAAGGCGCAAAGCTACACAGAGAAACCCTGTCTTGGGGGAAAAACAAAGAGCTGAATGGCCAATGGCTAAGCAGGAAGATGTTCGATGGGACTTCTGGGGACAGAGAGGTCTCAGGGAAGAAGAAAGACAGGGTTGCCAGCCAGACATGGAGGTAGCGAGATGGGCAGTGCAGAGTAAAGGTAACCGAGTCAAGTAAAAGAACATAGATTTTAAAATACAGGTTAATTTAAGTTCTAAGAACTTGTCAGGTACAAGCCTAAGCTAAGGTCGAGCTTTCATAATTAATAATAAGTCTCCATGTGGTTATTTGGAAGCTGGCAGGTTGGGACAGAGAAAGCTTCATTACATCTGTGCCCGGGTCTGGCCTCCATTCTACATGAAGAGTTGGAATGAGGCAGCCGTAATCCTGTCCCTGGATGATTCTCAAAAAGCTGGCATCGTGGTTGCACAGAAATTCACAGGGATAATTTGGTTTAATTTCACCAAGGATTCATTATTCCCCCAGGGCATTGTGGGGCCTGTGGGTAAAGAAAGACAAATTAAAATTTGCCACAAAAGTAGCTCTGAATTGGTGGGTAGGTTTGGTAACTGCTTTGTAGAGGCCATTTCATGACTAGTGAAACTCCTTATTCAGTACATAATTGATTACTTATTTTTTCTTAGGGTGATTGGAGAATATTTAACACATGAAGATTAAATATGTTGGGGCTGGAGAGATGACTCAGTGGATAAAAGTATTGGGTGCTCTTGCAGAGGATCTTGGTTCAATTCCCAGCACCCATATGGTAGCTTAAAATTATTTGTGCTCTGGAACTTCAGTTCCAAGAAGCCCAACACCCTCTCTGGCCTCTGCAGGCATCAGGCATGCACATTGTACAGACATACACCTGGTACACAGACATATATTCAGGCAAAACACACATACACATTAACTCTTAAAATTAAATATGTCAAGACCTTGCTTTGTACGTAGTAAATACAACTCAACGTCTATCTGTCAGTTATACCTTTGTCAACCTGGGATGGAGAAAACCCTCGTAATTACACGACAGCCCATAAGAAAGAGCATTATTTTACCAGGGTCTATTTGGAGACAGCCTCTGGCTATGCCAGGCTTCAACCAGGAAGCCTCCCATTATTAGCACAATTACAGCAGCCACTCCAAACCGGATGAGGTTACCCACGGTGTAGCCTTCTCTCATGGTATCTGGGGGCTCTGAAAGGGAGAAGATGATCATCACTGGCCACAGAGGCCATCCCTCCTCCACAGACAGATTGACCAAATCTGACTCCCATATTTCCACTTGCGTCATGGACTCTGTTCTCTAAAGATTTAACTTTAAATATTTTTTTAAATTTAAGTTGAAATGGGTATCCTGTACCTTTATTTTTTTGTTCACTCTGCCTCAGTCTCTTTTACTTTGCTTGGCCTTACCTTATTTCCATCTCTGCTCTCTTCCATTTCTCTATCTCCCTTGATGCATTAGGGGTTAATCTTAGATGCAACATGTAGATCAAAGGAGACAGAGCTACACATAGATCTACAGAACACAGGAATCAGTGGCGGGTCAGCATGCCTCCTTGGATCACAAAATGCCATACGGGCAGTGAGCTTCAGAAAATTTGAACCTGGCAGAGGAAAGGCTGGTTCACTGTATCTCTCTCTTCATTCAAGAGGAGCTGTTGAATGGTAAGGAGGAAGGGAAACGGCTAAGTGGATAAAGGGTCTGAACCCCAGAATCCACATATAGCTGGATACAGTAGTGTGTATCTAAAATCCATACGCATTGTAGTGAGACAGGAGGAGAATCCACAGAAGCTTGAGGGCCACCTAGCGTGGCATCTGCAGCAGTGAACTGCAAGAGACCCTGTCTCACACAGCAAAAGCAAAAGAAGAAGGAGGAGAAAGAGGAAGAGGAGGAGGAGGAGGGGGAGGAAGGGAACAGGAGGAGGAGAAGGAGGAGAAAGAGGAGAAAGAGGAAGAGGAGGAGAAGGAAGAGGAGAAGGAGGAGGAGGAGGAGCTGATGTGATGCTTGGCATTTATCTATCCTTAAAGACACTGCACATGAGTCAGCTCATCCTAAAAAGTTCAGCTTCATAACTAAACACATCAACAGCAAGGTTCGCTGCAGGCATGACCCACAGGGAAAGGCAGATAATCTCACTACTATATAAGAACATCATTCTTTACCTATCATTGCCCACTACACAGACTTTCATACCTAACAGTGATCACACTATTGAAAATCTCAAAGGCAAAAAGGAGAATTTACAAGCAAGGTGTGTAGTGTTTAAATGGGACAACATTCTGGCAGGAAACTTTGGATACTTTTGAAGACTTCAAACAGTAAAGGAATGATATCAGGGAGAAAACCCACTTATAGTTGTTTTACTATATCTACAGGAATAAGTGTAAAAGGTAAAAGACCTCCACAGTGGAATCTTCAACACACAAAAGAAAGAAAATGAAGAGGACACTAGAACATGGAAAGACCTCCTGTGCTCATGGATTGGCAGAATTAATACTGTAAAAGGGGCTGTCTTACCAAAGCAGTCCACAGATTTGATGCAATCTGCATCAAAATCTCAATGATACTCTTCACAGTATTAGAAGAAACAATGCTGAAATTCCTATGGAAGCATGGAAGATATCAAATAGCAAAACCGATCCTTAGCATAAAATCCACTTGAGAGCATCATGTTACCCAATCTCTGAATATATAATAGAGTGATAACAACAACAAAACCACAAGAAGCAGAATGGCGCTGGTGTCAAGACAGACATGTAGACCAGTTAAATAGAAGCTAGAAATCAGCCCACATGGTGTGATTCACCTAATTCTGACAAAGTGGTCAAAAGCATACATCACAGTCAGGCATGGTGGTGCACACCTTGAATCCCAGTGCTCTGGGAGAAGAGGCAGGCAGATCTCTGTGAGTTCCAGAGCAGCCTGGGCTACATAGTGAGTCCTTATCTCAACTACAAACAAACAAATTACAGAGAAGACCGAGACCGTTTCTCAAAAACAAACAAACCTATTATAGAAGAGACATGCCCTTTAACAAATGATGCTGAGAAAACTGATGTCTGGTTGTTGAGGAACGAAAGCAGATGCATCTCTCTCACCCTGCACAAAGATCAGTTCTAAATAGATCAAAGACCTTGGACCAGAAACTTGAACACTGCTATGGGGAAATCACTGCAGATATAGACATAGGCAAGGATTTGCTGAAAAACTCTTCTGTAGCACAGGAAGTGATCCAGAGAACTAACAAATGGGACTACATGACATCAAAAGGCTTCTGTATGACAAAGAAAACACTCTGCAGTGTGAAGACACATCATGAAGAACAGGGAAAATCTTGTGCATCCAACAGAGGAGTATTATATAGAATGTATAAAGAACTGAAAATAAAGCAACAAAAATCCTCCAAGCAATATACAAGCTAAGGAACTGAATAGGCCATTCTCAGAACCAGAAACACAAATGGCCATTAAATAGTTGAAAAAGGTGTGCAGTAGCCTTAGCCATCAGGGAAATGTTAATTAAAACTGCTATGAAATCCTATCTTATCACAATCCAAATGGCTGAGCAAGTAACAACAAATGCTGGTGATGATGTGGGTGGAGAGGAATCCATAACACTGCTGGTGGGCGTGTAAACTTGTACCAGCCTTCATAGAAATCAGTATGGAGGTTTCTCAAAAAATTGAAAATATGACTACCATACAACCCAGCTATATCAGTCTCTCCTCAGTATGTATTTAGAGGACTGGAAGTCAACATACTACAGAGATGTCTGCTCATCCATATTTATTTCTACCTTAGTCATAAATATCAGGAAACTAAACCAGCCTTGATGTCTACCTATGGAAGAATGGAGCAAATGTGATGTGTGTAAACAGAATTTTATACAGCCATGAAGAAAAACAAGATCATGGAGTCTGCTGAAGATCACTACGTTAAATAAAATAAAGCCGATTCAGGAAGGCAAGCATCATGTTTTCTTTCAAATGAGGAAACTCGGTTAAAATTGTATCCATGTTCTACAGGTGTGTGTGTATTTATATATGGGGTCACTGAAGCATACAGGGGATCATGAGAAGTGGGGACGAGAATTAGGGGAGAAGAAAGAGTGTATAATGGAATGCATAGAACAGCAGAGGAGACATGGAAACTCACCCGGTGAATAGAAGAAAGCAGTTTGGAGGCAGCTGGGGGACAGGGCCAGGCAGGGCAGTGTGTGAGGGAAGGACAATAAATGTCCTTATTGCTTATACAGAGTCACCCTGATTTGTGCGCTAACTGTATTAGTGATAAACACCTGATGGAAGCAACCAAAGGAAGGGGTTATTTTGACTCACTGTGTGAAGTTGCTATAAATCATGGTGGGGAAGGCATGGTAGAAAAAGCAGGAGGCAGACGGTCATGTAGGATCCATAGTCAGGAAGCAGAGACAGAGATAAATGCTGGGACTCAGTTCACATTGACCTTTTCATTAAGTCTGGGATCTCAGTCCATTGATGGTACCACCTATGTTTAGGATGAATCTTCCTACCTCAGTTAACCTTGTCTAGATAACCCCTCATAGACAAGCCCAGAGATTCATTTTCTTGGTAATTCTATAACCCAGTAGATTATATTAACCTGAAAGACTAATTAAAATAAAAAGAAGTCAGAGTAGCAGTGCACCCCTTCAGTCCTAGCATTCAGAGGCAAAGGCAGGCAGATCTCTGTGAATTTGAGGCTGCCCTGGTCTACATAGTGAGTTACAATGCCAGCCAGGGCTACATAGTGAGAATGTGCCTCAAAACAGTAATAACAACAATAAAAATATAAATATTGCATAGATAAATTGTTGGGGGATGTCTTTCTGTATGCTGTGAATATATGTTGTACCCACTGGTTAATAAATAAGCTGCTTTGGCCTACGGCAAGGCAGCTTAGAGGCAGGCAGGAAATCCAAGGAGAGAGACAGGAAAGAGAAAGGTGGAGTCTGGAGAGATGCCCGCCTGCTGTCCAAGAAGCAACGTGCCAGCAGACCTGTAAAGCCATGGAACACATGGCAAAACATCGATGAATAGAAATGATACTAAATGATAATAAATTAGTTTAAGATATAAGAGCTAGCTAGCAAGAGGCCTGCCATAGGTCATACAGTTTGTAAATAGTAGTAAGCCTCCGAGTGATTATTTTATAAGCGGCTGCCGGACGTGAGGCCAGACGGGACCACTACCCCCTCCCACAGGTGTTCAGAAAATGATAGCAAACCTTACCTGTCACAGAGACCTCAAGGGGATTGCTGGGGGCTGAGGCCCGATAGGGAACCTTTGCCTGGTAGTACACACAGCTGTATCTCCCCGAGTCTCTGGCTGTCACGTTCAGAAGGGAGAAGTCAAGCACCGTCCCTGTTGAGCTCCTCATCTGCACAGGAGCTGAGCGTCCCTCCTTCAGCAATGCAAACCTCATGGGTCCGAGCACACTGCCCGCTTTCTGGCACTGCAATATCAGCTGGCTCCCTGCAGGCACTGTGCCCCAGTGGTAGGCTTGGAGGGAAGGTTTAGGCAAGTACCCTGGAGAAGAAAGGGGCTCTGAGCTCCAGGGAAGAAGCTGTAGAACTTGTGCACATTCCTGTTCTTTGTTGTTGCTTGTTTTCTTTCTTTATTTTTCAAGACAGGGTTTCTCTGTGTAGCCCTTGCTGTCCTGGAACTCACTCTGTAGACCAGGCTGGCCTTGAACTCAGAGAGACCCACCTGCATCTGCCTCCCCAGTGCTGAAATTAAAGGTGTGTGCCACCACTGCCGGACAAGGTTTATTTTATTTTTTTTCATTCTTGTTCTTGTGGCAGGGATCTCCTGAGCCTCATCCCTCTCACTGTCTACCGTGACTCTAAAACAGAGATTCTTTTTTCCCACTCCCACAAACCCTGGGGGGAACCACATTCCCACTCCTCTATCCCTTGCTCTGGAGATTCCACCCTTCTTCATTCCTTCTCCCGGTCCCTCCCTTACCCCCAGTCTGAAGATGCCATGTATCTTCCTGAGATAGACCCTCCTTACCTGTGACCAATAGGAGAAGGGCATCACTGGGCTGTGTCCGGGTGCCATTGGACCATTTGCTGAAGGATTCACAGGTGTAATGTCCTCCATCATTCTGCTGTAACTCAGCGATATGAAACTCAGCCATCTTCTCTGTCAAATCATATGGCTTCCCAGAATCCAAAACAAAACCTTCCTTTTTGAAGATGAAGTATTCACTTGGAGCAGGGCTCCTACATCGCATTGTCACACTGCTTTTGGTGGGAAGCACTGAGCTGGGCCAGGCGCTGAGGCTGGGCTTGGGAGGTGGCCCTGGAAGCAAACAGAGCTCAGAGCTGTATCTGATGTACTTACCTTCTCCCAGAGCCCCTCCTGCTTCTTTTTTATAGAGAAGGAGATTGCACTGTGGAGGTAGCTCAATTAGTAAAATGCTTGTTATGCAAGCATGAGTACTTGAGTCGGACTCCTGGAGTCAGCATAGAAATCAGGATGTGGTATGTATGCTTGAAATCCCATTGCTGGGCAAGTAGAGACTGATGGACCACTTGGGTTTTCTTGTCAGCCATTCTACCCTAATTGGCATGCCTCAGGTCTAATGAAAAAAAAAATTGCCTTAAAAAAGAAATAAATAAAGAAAAAAAGTATTTACAGTAAACCCCCTCCCCCCCCCAAACACACACATAAGAAAATGAACTAAAATAAAAAGGATGGTAAACTCCTGGGAAGTAACACCTGCCAGTGGCTGTGTCAGAGGAGCAGCAGGTGGCAACTGAAGTTTGAGGTGTCAGCCCACTCAGGCTAGTCCCTGACGGGTGAACCTCAGATAGGCAAGGCCTCTGGACCACAGACCCCAGAATGTCTTGTGCTTCTGCTGTGCCTTCACATGTTTGCTGCTGTGATCTTTCTCTGGTATCTGCATGGCGTGAATGGGTGTGGGGAGATCCCCACTGCCTGTAATGCAATGTGTTTATCTCACGGAAACACCCTGTTCTACTCGGTACTTTTACTTGTGAATTATTATGAAGATGATTTCTTCTTAAGCTGTACTGTCTAACTGAACATGATAATGTTGGTTTAAACAGAGTTTTGATGATTACACGTAAATACAAGAAAGTGTTACACAGCTCGGGCCCATGAGTTTCACCTAAGGAGCTGCAGAGATCGCAGTTCAGGTTAATGATTAAGGAAAGTGACTGAGTTCCAAGAGCCAGACTGGCTCAAATTCTTTTAATCTTAATGTTTGTTGAAAGGTGCACTCACAGGTTTTGGTGTGCACCATAGCTGAAGCAAAGTCTTAAAATAAGGTTAGGTCAGATGCTTTGATTATAGTTTTGAGATGAAAAAGCCTAGAAAACAATATAAAGTTCACAAAGACACATAGGTGAGTTACAGATTCATTAAGTTAGGGTCAGAAATACAAAACAGTCCAGTTGTTACTAGCTGATGTACTTTCCTTGTTAGGATTGGCTGATGATCAAAGGTGGTGATTAATTCCTTGTGCCCATTTTTGCCCTCAACCTCTGGATATAAGAAACTACTGATGAGTGGGTATGCACCCTAAAGATTTAAAGTAGAGCTGAATGATTGTTTTACATGTAAAAATTTAGGTTTGTGATTCCTTTAAGATTCCTTATAAGATTACCTTTCAAGATAAACAATAAAGTGACTGAATCCTTCTTTGTAATGGTAATATACAACCTGCCAATAAAAGATGGCTGAGAAAGATATCCACTGCTTGATCACACTGTGAAAATCTGTAACAAGTTGCTTAGATGTAAATATATGTGGGGTCTTGGGATGGCTTCTTTTTAATCATGTAAGAGACAAAAACATGTTTTTACCTGTATTCACTATAAACATTCATTGGTAAAATAGAATATAACCACCTTGCAATTCCTACATTGCCTGAAAGACTTTGTTGAGGTATATAAGCAGAGAAGAGAATACAGTGATAAAATAAAGAAGGAAACCATCAAGAGAGTATGTGAGTGTTTTTTCCCCTACCCCTCAGATAAAAAGTCACAGTATGCCGACGCCATGGAATTCCCTTTGAGCCCTGCACTGCTGGAGGCAGGTCCCCCAGGCAGCGGAAAATACCACAGTTGTTGACCTCTGGCTTCTACATGAATGCACACTCACATGTGCACATGGACACACATACAAAAGATATCAAAGGGGGAGAAAAAATTTGGGGTGAAAGATCAAGGAGAGTTTGCCTGAAGACCCACTTACCATTGTCCGGAATGTCTGATTGCCCAACACACAGCCCTGGAAAAAAATCACACATGAGCCACAAGTTTCTAGTCCCCCTCTGGTCCAGAGGGGTACTCTGAGAGCACTGTCATCTTATCACTTGGAGTCTCCCTCTCAGGAGCTGCATGGTCCCTCATCTGGGCTGTGACTTCAGCTTGTATCTGAGGTTGGCTATTATCATCTTGTTGATCTCACTCCAATGGTCCCTTCTTCCTTCTACAAACTCTCAAAAGCTTCCAATTCTCATTCCTACCCCCAAGCTTCACACAATCACCGTCTCTGCTGGAGGAGCATGGATCACATTGCTTGGGTCATCACCTCTCCTCCAGGGAAGGGACACCAGCCTTGTAGGACACTGGGGAGGATAAGAAGTTAGCCTACACCTAATGGTGTCAAGAACCCCAGGAGGAAGCTGGTGCGCCCCTTTAATCACAGCACTCAGGAGTCATAGGCAGGAGGACCTCAGGGAGTTCGAGGCCAGCCTGGTCTACATAGTGAGTTCTAGGATAGCCAGGATTGCATAGAGAGACCCTGTCTCAAAACAGACAGACAAGCCGGGCGGTGGTGGCGCACGCCTTTAATCCCAGCACTCGGGAGGCAGAGCCAGGCGGATCTCTGTGAGTTCGAGGCCAGCCTGGTCTCCAAAGCGAGTTCCAGGAAAGGCGCAAAGCTACACAGAGAAACCCTGTCTCGAAAAACCAAAAAAAAAAAAAAAAAAAAAAAAACCAGACAGACAAAAAAGACCCTGTGGAGGGAGGCTTGGGAGATGGTTCTGCCAGTAAATCTCTCAATACAAGCAAGTTTGATACTCACCACCCATGTGAAAAAGATCACTGTGATGGCATATGCTTGTCATCCCAGTGCTGGGGAGGTGGAGACAGGAGGATTCCTTGAGCTCAGTGGCCAGCCAGCCTAGCCCAACTGGTGAGCCTCAGATCAAACAGAGACTTTGTCTCAAATTCCAACATGAATAGCATGTGAAGAATGACCCCTGAGGTTGACCTCTTGTCTCCACAAATGCATGCCCATGTGCACATACACATGGACCCATGTGAACACACACACAAGCACACAACTTATTTACTATGTACCCAAATAAATAAATGTGATAAAAACATATCTGCAATAAAAGCCATCATGCCTCCACATGGTGTCACCCCCTAGATGAAGATCTACAGATGGTGAATGGTGGCTGAGAGGAGAATCAGTCTCCTCCAGGGATGAGCTCCCATGTAAGTAGTCCAATCCCAAGAAGTCAGTCAGTCATAGACACATATCCATAGGATTAAAGGTAAATGGTTGTATATATGTGCTCATATGCATGCATATAACACACACACATATATACATACACACGTATATATATATATATATATACATATATATTAAATTAAAGAAAAAAAGAAAAGATCATGAATTGGGGAAAGAGGCTCTGAGATCAATGGAAGAAGTGGTGGGCCCTGTGCTCATGTTTGTCTTTTTTTTCTTTTGGTGCTTAGAGACAGGATTTCTGTGTGTAGCCCTGGCTGTGCTGGAACTCACTCTGTAGGACAGATAGACAACCACCTGCCTCGTGCTGGCAGTACTGGGATTAAAGATGTTCCGCCATACCTGGGTTATTATTATTTTTGATATAGGGTCTCATGTACCCATTCAGGCACCAATTAATTATGTAACCAGATGATTTTGAACTTCCGACACTCCTGCCTCTACCTTGCCAGAGCTGGGAATACACAAGTGTGCCACCACACCCCGCCATGAAAAGTTATCGAATAGCATCGATCACCCACTGTAGTTAGTACTATATAAAGAAGTGCTAGGCGTAGCTGTACAAGCTCTTACCCCTGTCTTATCGCCTGGTCTCACAGCCTGTAATCTCGGCTTTTGAGAGCAGAGGCAGGAGGATCTCTGTGAGTTCAAGGCTAGTCTGGCCTAGGTACTAGGCTCCAGGTCAGCCAGGGTTGCACAGTAAAAGCTTGTCTCAAAACAATTTAAATATAATAAACAAGAAGTTCTTTCCTGTGGTTGGTCTCTGTTGTATCTTAGTCATAACAACTTGGCATCACAGAAAAGACATAGCCTGCTGCTGATTCAACCTTGGCTAGCAACAGCATATAGAACTTACCAGTTTTGAGTCCTTTACATTATACCTATGCTCTGTGTGCGTGTGTGTGTGTGTGTGTGTGTGTGTGTGTGTGTGTGTGTGTGCGCGTGTGTGTGCGCGTGTGTAGTCTCCAGTGGTCTAGACTGGCCTTGACCTCCCTACTTAGCTGAAGATGTTCTTCCTTCAATTCATCATCTGCCTCTCTCCACCTTCCATGTACTGGGATTACAGATTTGTGTCACCACAATTGGTTTATAGTACTGGGGATAGAACCCAGGACTCCACGCTCACTAGGTAAGCACCCTGCCAATATAGTTACAGCTCCACGCCTATGTTTTCCCCCATCTATGTCTACTACATATTGAGCATTGGTTTTACCCTAATATGTACAATAAGATTTCTGATTCATCCTATGAACTCAGACCCTGCTCTGAGCTCTGTGTGAGTTCTGGCTTCAATTCCCATCCAAGTATCTCACCAGTTTTATGATTTCCTGGAGATGGAGTGGACGACCCAGAGCAACTTACGGAGGCAGAGAAGGGAAAGGAGCCTAGGGATCATGGTGGCTCAGTGGCTGATCCAAGGGTCTTCTTCGGGACTCGTAGCAGAAGAATAGGACCAGGGTATTGCAGTCCTTCCAACCTCAGTGAGTAGGCAAGACTGGTTTTGAGGTTTTGAGCTGGCTGCTCAGTTCCTTCTTCCCACATCCACTTTCAGGAAATGTGTAGATGGCATCTGTTGCAACATGTTCCTCTGAACCCCTTCAGAGACTTGACTCACTTGGTACTTTTCTGTCACAGTCAACTTTCAGGCCTTACACAGGTAACTTCCAAAAGGCCTAACACTGGGCTTGCCGGATTCATTCTGAGAGGATGAAAACTGAGATTGACGATTTCTGATGTCAAGGCCAAGATTTATGTAAATTGAGAGGCAGATATGACAGGCACCAGACACTAGCCAAAATCCTTTTCTAATGGAAGCAATCAGTCTCTTGAAACTGAGAAAGATTCACAGAACACAGACAGCTTCTCTCCTTATATTTGTTTTATGTTGCTTTGTATTTAAGATAGGATCTGGTGTAGCACAGGCCAGTCTCAAAATCACCATATAACTGAAGATAACCTTGAACTTTAAATCCTTTTGCTCTCACTTCCTGAATGCTGGGATTATGGACATGTGCCACTACATATGGTTGAGGTAGTACTGAGGATTTAACCCAAAGCTTTGTGTTTGCCAGACAAGCACCCTACCAACTGAGCCGTAGCCACAGCCCCAAAATGCTCTCAAGCTCAAGCTACATGTGTGTCCATGGGTCATGAAGATCCCATATGTCTTTGGTTTTTTTTTTTTTTTTAAATGAGAGTTTTGTTTAGTTCAGTTTTTGTATGTTTTGTTTTGAGACTGGGTCTCAATATGCAGTCCAGGCTGGTCTCAACCTTACTGTGTTAGTGAGGATGACCTTCCACTCTTCTGCTTCTGTCTACTGGTTGCTGGTGACAGAGTTTTTCAAACAAGGAAGCCGCCCAACACATGAAGATGCTCATGGCAAGACTAGGACCATGGCTCAGGAGTATAGTGCTTATCTGGGACGCATGAGGCTCTGAGTCTAATCCCCAGTACCATCACCAGAAACACCACCAAAAAGGAATGACCATGGTAGCATGATCCATGAAGGATCAGACTAGACAATGAGAATGATAAACAAATCGTGATGCAACCATATAATAGAATGATCTCAAGCTTCAACAAGCACAAAATACACATAATACCACGAAGTCTCAGAAGCAACATGGGGTGAGAAAGGACCTGGAAACCAAGAATGCCTGGGCTACAGCTCTCTACAGTGGGCAGCAACAGGCACAACTCAGCCATGGGAAGACCCAGAGAATTAGTGAATTATCTAAGAGGAAGCAGAAACTGCCTGGAGGGAGTGCCAAGGGAACTTTTAGGAGTTTGTATCTACACCAAGTTTGGAGAACCGATGCTTGTAGAGGAACCAAAGCATCGGTTAAGCTTCCTTACAGAGCAATAGGTTATGGGCACGAGCGACCTTAAAGCCGCCACACGGTGAGGTCTTCATCCAGCACAGTGCTGACGCCATAAAGGCTGCACAGATGGGGCCCCTCATTGGTCCTTCCCGACCCGTGTTCTTCTCGTCCCCACTGAAGCCACCTGCAGTGAAGACAGATGTACATAAACTCTGCTCTGAACGAGAGGCTTGATACTCACGTGACAGTGCCACGACCCTCCCCACCTCTCCAAGGGGGAAAGTCAACAGTTACCAAGCCCAGCTGTGGCCATGCTTTACTGAACTCATGAAAACAGTGGCAGTTTAGCTCACAGGATAGTCCTGTACAAAACACATCATTGAAAATAAAAATCTTTCCTTAAAAGTAGGTAAGCAATAATGACATTTTTTAAATGTTCCATATTTTAATTTTTTTATTAAGAATTTTTTTTTTCACTTTACATACCAATCACAGATCCCCCCCTCTTCCCTCCTCCTGAGTCTCCAGCCTCCCCTCCCCCAACCCAATCCCCATTCCCTCTTACAAAGAGGTAAGGCCTCCCATGGGGAGTCAGCAGAGCCTGGTACCTTTAGTAGTAGAGGCAGGTCCAAGACCCTCCCCCTGCATCAAGGCTGTGCAAGGTATCCCACCATAGGTAGTGGGCTCCAAAAAGCCTGTTCATGCACCAGGGATGAATCCTGTCCCTACTGCCAGTGGGCTCCTTAAGCAGATCAGGCTACACAACTGTCTCAGCTATGTAGAGGGCCTAGTCCAGTCCCATGGAGGCTCCACAGGTGCTGGTTTAAATTTCTTGAGTTCCCACTGGTTGTCTCTGTAGGTTTCCCCATCACAATCTTGATGCCCCTTGCTCATGAAAAAGACATTTTTAATAAGAAGGAAATTAGTCTTCATTACAGATTTTAAGAAAGGAAACCCAGTGTGGCCTCTGGCCTACCCCTGTATAATCATCTGATGTCTTCCCTCAAACGCCAGCTCTTCTTCTACTTCTTCAGAACTGAGCAGACACAAGTGTCATGAGGCTAGCTGGCCTGATGGAAGGGTTCTCCCTCATAGCTCTGGCTTCCCACTAGACACAATCACTCCATGGGCTTCTTCAGCTTGAGGCCTGGGGTTCTTCATCCTGAAGGTAAGCAAGCGACAATATCAAGTCCTGGGTGGAGTATTTGACTGGGAGGATTCTAGATGTAGGACAGTGCCAGACCTGGAGATCAAGATAGGACAGAGGCAACATCACGGAGGAGGGGCAAAAGGTGTAAATGCCTTGGACGGAAGGAGAGCTGCCAAGTGCTGTCTTCTCAGCTGTTACATGTACACATAGACTCACAGCAAGTGTGGCTTCCTGCTCAAGATCAAGCCACTTACAATGTCTGGCATGGACAAGGAGTGTCTACGTGTGTGTCTCTATGACATCTATATGCCTGGTACCTATGGATATCAGAAGAGAATGTTAGATCTCCTGGAACTGGAGTTATAGATGGTTCTGAACCAGCATGTGGGCACTGGGAACTGAACCTGGATCCTCTGAAAGAGCATCATTGCTCAAAGAAATGAACCGTCTCTCCAGTCCTTACATGTGATTTTCTGCCAGGCAAGACTAAGAGCCTTCCAGTTTAAAGCCCTCCCATTTCCTTATGACTGAAAGTACAAAAAGGTAAATAAAATAACTACAAGGGGGCTAAGGAGATGGTAGAGACAGTAAAGTGCTTGCTGTAGAAGCTTGAGGACCCAAGTTCTTATTTATTTATTTTAATTGTTATCTTCTTTCATGGAACACATCCCAACCACTGCTTCCCCTCCCTCCAGCTCTTCCAGTTCTTCCCCCAATCCCATCTACTGCCGAACTACCCCACTTCCCATCTTTCTCCAGAAAAGTGTAGGCCTCCCAGGGATGTCAACTTAGCATGACCCAACAACAGTCAATAAGAGTAGACACAACCCCTCCCATCAAGGCGTGGCAAGGCAACCCAGTAGGAGAAAAAGTCTCCCAAGAGCAGAGGAAGTAATCAGTGACACCTGACTCCCACTTTTAGGAGTCTCTCCAAATTACCAAGCCAATAGCCATAACATATATGCAGAGGACCTAGCACAGACCCATGCAGGCTACATGATTGCAGTTTCAGTCTCTTTGAGCCCCTATGAGCCCTGTTTAATTGATTCTGCAGGCCATGCTCTCCTGATGTCCTCTACCCCTCTGGCTCCCACAATTCCTCCTCCCTCTCTTCTGCTGTGTTTCTGGAGTTCCAAAGAGGGGGACTCAATGGAAACCTCTACTTGGGCTTTCTTTCTGCCTAATGTTTGTATGTGGGAAAGACCTGAGTTCTTATTCCCAGTACCCACACAAGAGTCAGCTGTACCAATTTGTCCCTGTAATCCCCTATTGGGGAGCTGGAGATGGGAGGGTCTCCGGGGCTTCATGTCTAGCCAGTTTAGGCAAATCAGTTAGCTCCATGTATAGTGAGAGATCCTGCCTCAAAAACATGATGGATGGATGGAGAGAGAGAGAGAGAGAGAGAGAGAGAGAGAGAGAGAGAGAGAGAGAGAGAAATGGTTTAGTGGTCAAGAGCACTTAATGGTATTTCAGAGGACTCAGGTTCAGTTCCCTGTAGCTAGAGTTTTCCTGCCTGGCCCACAGTCAGGACAAATCTCTCTCACCTGCCAGTCCCAGAGTCGCTCAGACCCGACCAAGTAAACACAGAGACTTATATTGGTTACAAACTGTATGGCCATGGCAGGCTTCTTGCTAACTGTTCTTACAACTTAAATTAATCCATTTCCATAAATCTATACCTTGCTACGTGGCTCATGGCTTACCAGCATCTTCACATGCTGTTTCCCATCGTGGCGGCTAGCAGTGTCTCTCTGACTCAGCCTTCCACTTCCCAGCTTTATTCTCCTCCTTGTTCCACCTATACTTCCTGCCTAGCCACTGGCCAATCAGTGATTTATTTATTGACCAATCAGAGCAACACATTTGCCATACAGAACATCCCACAGCAGTTCCCAGCACCTAGGAGCCCATAACTGCCTGTAATTCCAACTCCAGGGGATCTGATGCATTCTTCTGGTCACAGAGGGTACCTGCCCATCTCACCCCCCCCCCCCCCCCACATAAACACAGAAGCACACACACATAAATAAAAGTAAAAATTTTAAAAACATGGTGGAGAATAATGAAAGATACCTGATACTGTCCTCCACACACACATTCATGCACAAACACACACATGCGTGCACACACAAATTGAACAAAACATCAACCCAATATCAGAAGCATTCAAATTAATTGTGCATGAGATTCTTGAGGCCATGCTGTCCTGGTGTTCTGGACTTTTTGGATACCATAATTCCTCTTCTTCCTCTTCTGCTGGGTTCCCAGAATTCCAAGGGAAGGGATCGATGGAAATCTCTATTCCAATCTCTCTCTCTCTGTATAATGTTTGTATGTGGGAATGACCTGAGTTCTTATCCCCAGTACAAACATAAGAAGTCAGATGTACTAACGTGTCCCTGTAATCCCTAGTGAAGAGGAAT